AAAATGCAGCAAATATTAGTCTTTAGAAACTCTCAAATGAAAAGGAAAAAAAAAAAAAAAAAAAACAGCTTGGTAGTCCCTGGAAGAAAAGTTTGGTCCTTTTTAACCGACAAAAACCGGTAGAAACAAATTTTACTCTAGGATTTTTTTAATTCAGGTTTTGTTATGCATGCAAAAATACTCCACAGCATTCCAGAGATGCCAAGAGTGCACACACATGTATATGTGGCCCATTGTGCGGGTGCAGACACCTACCCCTCTCTTTGCATTCCCATGAACAGTGACTGCAACCTAAGTGCCAGGCTAGGCTTTCCACACAAATGCTGGCAACGTTCCAGAGCTCCCTTCCTTGTGTTCCATGGGTAATTCCAAGCATCTGGCCCAGGATCTCAGGGGAAGTGGATAGCAGCCCTTGACCTAAGCTTACCTGCCTGGCACCTGGACCACTCTCAAACCTGGTTTGTCTGACACATGAGAAATAACATCAGTATCCATCAGCACATGAGATGGCGAGACAGAGCAAAGCTTGCACCACAGGCTTTCTGGGTAGAGATATCACCATGAGAATGGCCAGAGAAAAGGTCTCCATATCAACGGGTCCCAAGCTATGTCCTGAAGAGAGTAAAAGGTCTGGCTGTGTGAAGAAAGGATGGGGCAATTCCAAAGCAGGACAGGTAGGAGAAGCAGCAGAAACCTGACTGGCAGCAAGAGAGGGCACCTTGAAAAGAGGCTACAACTGCTGCCTCAGGAGAGTGGCTCTCCCCTGAGGATCCTTGTCAAGAGGAGGACATGCCAGGAGGGTGGGGAAGCGTCAAGCCAAGAAGCTTCTAGAGCAACTCATACACTTCAAACAAATCGCCCCAAGGATGTCCTCATTGGGCCCCTCAGTATGGGACGGTGTAATCTCACAGCCCCCACGATGCCAGTGCCACTGACCTGAATCCCACAAGGACGGGTCGTGGCTGAGACACAACAGGAAATGCCACTCCCCACAGACTAAGGCATGCACCGCCTCTGTGCATCTAACGTTGAAGCATACCAGGTCCTGTACGTATCTGAGAAGTCTTCTTAAATAGATGTGTGACACACACACAGAATCAGTTAGATAAAAGGGGACAGGGAAACAGACGCACAACTTCTGCAACACTGAAAAGAATGAAGTGTTCTGTGATCAAGAGCAGAAAAAATCAGTACGAAGGGAGGCAGGAGGAAGAGCAACTTAAGCTCCGTTTTCCACACTTAAGGACCATCTTCATAAAAGGGGAGTATGTCACGTTTATGCCTTCTCTGCCAAGCGCACCGTCCAGCCTGGCTGGAAGACGGAAGCCTGCATCTCAGGCCCTCCCTGCTCTGTGGGGCAGCTCTGTGGGGTACCAGCGAATTTAACCTGAAATGAACTAAAACTCCGTATGCCTGGTGATACGGGCTCTGCTCACGCTTCCAAATATAGCCGACTGGCCAGATGGTGGCAAGAACTGCCCAGAAAGCCGAGTCAGTGGAGGACCTCCTCCCTCCGGCCCCACTGGCTCCAAAGGATCAAAGCAGCACGTGCTTCGCTGCGTCCCTTTGAAACAGGCCTGGGGAGGACGGGGACCAGGGACGGGGAGGCTGCCTGCGCCAGCGTGCACTGGGGCCACACTGCTGCAGCCACGTCACCCTGTCGCCTCCTCCAGTTGCTCCAACAGGTCGTGGCACTGAGACCTCTGTCCTGAGAGAAGACTTTTCCATTGCAATGACAACAGCAGCTAGCTCGTGTCCGTGCTTCCCCTCTGTTGAGGGCTG